CCTTCTACATGATTATGATGTAGTGGGAATTATGGAAACGTTGCTAAATCAATACATAAATGTTAATAATCCCTTTCATCATATCCCTAGGCAAACTATATGCTGTTTCATTTAGATGCGCAAACATAAATAACCGTGGCAGGTAGGTAATCATCTCCTCCATTCTGGTTTTTTGCTTATGTTTGATTGACAGATTAAACCCACCCTTCTGCGTTAAGATGTGTTGAAGTTTTAGAATGCATCCTTTCAAATTTAATGATTAAAAAAGTGACAGAAAATATAAATGTTGCGTTCGACAAAAGTTGGATGATATGATATATTAATAGTCCTCTTAGTTCTTCAATAAATTTTATATGAGACAATCACAATTATTAGACTGTAATATGTTGTAGTATGTTAACCTGTAAAGACATCATTGTATTGCATACTGTGCGACAGGCACATTTTCCTTTGAATTGTATCTCTGATTTTATCGTTTATCGAGTATCGTTTTCCGTAGATCACTGACGATTGGAACTTTTCATAAACGGAGTTATTGGAATTGTTGACGTCTTTCGTTATATTGCACGTGTAACTTCCAACACAATGCTGTATACATCACCCCACACCTGACACCAATTTATGTCGCGTTGGTAACTTTATTTATAAATACCTTTTTCTAATTTCAACACAACTCTCAAAATAAGTCTGTCAATAATGTTAACAATGACGTGAACGTTTATCAAATACCACAGTTGGAATTTGTTGATCTTCCAGAATACCTCTCCGAAATGTAATTAAAGCAGAAAGTGTTCTTAGTCCCAGAAAATGTATTAAATAAAGTTAATACCCACCAAATCAAATCTATCATGAAATTGATACCATTTTTCAATGATACTATGCATCGATTAGAAAGCTAACACTAAGAAATTAAACATTAAATATAATTAAATACGAAATTGCAAATTATTATAAATGTGTAATTAAAGCACTAAAATTCAGAACTTTCTTATAGATTGCAAGTAATGTGTGATAGCTACAATTGGTCAGAAAGTCCGACCAATTGTAGCTATCTTGTGAACTTTGATTATAAAACAAAAAAGTAAATTTTCTTGTTATAGAAATTAAACACTGTCTAAACTAAATTAACACTAAAATCTGTTCAAACAGACTCCAACCCACTGGTTAAAACATGAGTTAACAATCTATAGTATGTGTTAATCAGCATTTAGGGACTAATATCAGCATTTTGACCGCAAGTTATCTCGGTTTAATCAGACGAAGTCAAAGGTTTTTCATTCTAAGCTTATTCACTTGCAAGCTAAAGTCACTTGCAATCCTTGAAATGTGTTGAACGATTTTGGGTTGATCAGATTTACCACATCGATTCTAACTAGAACAGCATATATTACAGCGCCACGACTCCAAGCGACCAAGACTTAATATTAAACACTACAATGTGTTGACCATATTAATTGTAGACATCAATCGCGGGGGGCTTCGTCTTAATCAGGCTAAGTCATACCTTTCCACCATAAATAGCCAAGATCTTTAATGAGTTAACTTTTTTTCTTTAAGGACGTTTATCACGAAATTTCGTTATATTGCGTTTTATAACATACCAAGAGACCAGATATGAGTTACAAGAGACAAAATTTAAATTCATATATTTTTAAGTAATTAAGCCAAATTTTATTGCAAGAGCACACTTTATAAATGAAATTTGTGTTTGTCTAAAGAATCGATTACACATAGCTATTTTACACACTACTAGTGCACTTTTTTACTACCTGCAAGTAAAATCCAGATGGTTTACTAGTAAGTATGTGAGCGACTAAAGTTGAAGACCGGTCAACTTTATTGTCTAGATAGAAAAGTATTGTGTAATTGTATCGGTGAGCAAACTAACTACAGAACAAAAGAGTTTATAACGTAGAATAAGGTTGATTCAGTTATATATCGTGAAAATGGCACCGAAAATGTTAAAAGAAGTACTTCGTGGCTAGTAAACAAGCTTATATATCTTGGTTCTTGGAGCTGTTTTACAAGAAGAATTCAAAAATATTATTTTCGCTTTTAACGCTTCTGACAATTCTTCAAAATCAGAGTAAAAGAAAATCGGAAATGCGCGCTTTTTACTCGCCAACTATCTGACTAGGAAAAAAATACCCTACTTAATGGTGTGTAAACTTGCTCCGTGTAACCGAAGTTAATTATATAGATTAGCTTGATTTTCATAATTTCGTTTCATATGAAGCAAATACCGTAGAGTGCCGATAAACCATTGTAAACGGGAGAAAACAACAGCCACACAGTCGAAAATTTTTTAATTAACTTTTCTCATAAGAAAAACATAGTGAATTGTGAAACAAAAAAAAATATTACATCATTGTCACTACATTTCTGGAGTAAACTCGGTCCAGGCAATTATTTACTTAGGCATTGGCTATCGACTAGATCATCAGTCATGTACTCATAGCCCAAACTTTCGAGTCAATTCAGCACCTTTTCACAGTCCTCAAACAATTTTATGTACTTCACCTGATTCATCTCATAAAATTTTGTTTAAAGATTTTGTAATTGTGATAACTTTCACAGTTCCCCAAAGCATCTCGAAGGGTAATTGATTTCCAAAACTCTCCTTTATAGTTTTGGATTGTTTTTTTTTTGCAACCAGATCCACCATTAATTTTTTTTCTGTACAACCTCTAATTAAACTAATTTTATAGCCAGAACCAGTTTTTTCGATAGTAGTTGATAATATAAAAGTAGGCATTGCACCCCAAAAGTCGCAACCAAGCTCTTGAAAATGTAAGTTCTTCGATGATTTGTGACTTTTCCGCAAAGTAGTGTGAGTTGGCTAATATGTATAGGATGGATATCGGCTCTTTTTCGGACATTTTCTAGTTACTCACTGTTCGTACCTTTTATTGTTTTTCTATGTCGAAGTCCAGCTAATGTTTGCACATAGAAACATTTTTTTTCAATTTGCGCTGCTAAATCGCGCATGGTTCGATGTCCAACTCCATATTCGTTAGCTAGCAAAGCTAATTTTTTTACTGTTAAAGAAAAGATTAATACGTTTCTAAACACTGCAGTGATAACAACGCTACATACAGAAAGATTGAAAATCGATGTAGTATACTTAGTGTACTGAATTTCTTCGCACTTTTCGGATACATAACAATATTCTTTATTATATTATTTATAGTTAGTTTTATTCGTCTTCATTCAAGATTCTACAAATCACTTAATTTGGACGAGATAAGTTTGCATGATTGCAATCTTCTGCAGATAAGGAGTAACAGTTTTCGAGTTCAAACATTTCTTATCCATCTCATTTCAATTTCGTGCCTTAATAACAATCATAGTAAATCTTTATTGCTCAATAAAAATTGTTGCAGAATATCGAAAAAATACAATATGATTATAAGTAAGTTATCTACTATACAACAGTCAGTTAACATTAAACACATTTCAAAACACAAAGAGACAAGTTATGGAACAGACAGCTTAGCAGTATCGCACGACAGGTACTTCTCGTAAGAATAAAAGTTATTTTTGAGTAACATATTAGGCAAAATAGGCATTCCTTGCCGCCTACTTACCTGCTACTTAACATCAGTCTTTGGATCAAATACACAACACCAGAAAGACGATTACACAAGTTTTGAAGAATATGAGTGCACTATTTCAATGTTGAATCCGAAGTTAGTGCTTCACTATTCTTGTTGAAGAGACTCAACTTCTGCATCGTGTTCTTGTTTATATTTAATCTATTTGATAACATCCATTCCTCCGCCTCGCCGAGTCTGGCACTGACTCGATCGTGGGAACTTCCCCTTGCAACAAACGTTGTATCATCCGCGTAGAGAAACGCTGTGATATCAGTAACACAAAAAGGTAGAACATTTATGTACACAGCAAACAGTATAGGTCTCAGAATGGAACTTTGCGGTACTCCATATTTGCAGGACTTCATGTTAGATTTAGTTTCAGACCAGCTAACAACTTGTTTTGGATTTGAAAGGTATGAAATCAATAGAGCATGTGGAAAACCTCTTACGCCATAAAAGTAGTTTGCGCATTAAAATGCAGTTTGACAGTATCGAAAGCACGACATAAGTCGCAGCAAGCTATTTTAACCTTTTCGTTGTTATCATGTTTCTCAACTATTTCTTGTACCAAAATTACCACAGAATGAATACTTACACCCATTTATTTTGGCAATAAATAAATTTAATATTCTTCATTTTTAGTATTAGTCCATAACAAGAAATTAAACTTTGGTATCCAAAAGTATAGCAACGAGCAGTTATGGAGAGGAAGCGCAAAAATGTCGTAATTTGTAATAATAATTTCGAAAATGCTCAGATAATTTTTATTTCCATAACTTATTAGTGTATATGAAACATAATTTTATCAATTAGTCAAGAGAAAATCAACAAATTCGTTATGATTTAATGATTTAACTTATTACTTCAACGATCAACATTCAATTTAAACTCTTACAGTTGTAATAAATTTAATTAGTAATCTTTAAATAATAATTTATTAATATAAATTAATTAATTAACTTTTTTTAAATATAATTATTATTTCAGTTTATACAACTTTAACTACACAGGAGTATAACATATACAAAATAATCTAAACTTCAGGTGTTAAATGACCCCAATGCCGAAGCGCTTTTTACCTGAAGCGACAATTATTCACCCTAATCTAAAAACATCGAGCAAGTTCGCCCCTCTTTACAGCACCCTATATTTCTCTATTAACCGAGATCTTAACGCCACCTAGTACCAAGTAGAAAATCACGATGCATCGTTGGGCATTCTGGCTAATAGGGTTGCAAGAGGTATAAGCTCAGTGGAGTGAAGCTTTTGGTAATTGATGAGTTGTTGAGGTCAGTGGTTCTCAAACAAAACAATTTCATAAATTCTTTTTATTTTTCGTTATTATTTTTGTTAACTAATGTATTATTTTAATAAATTGTGTCAACTAGGGGAAAAATAAAACAATTTTTTTTCTTATTTAGTAATAGATTTTTAATTTAAATACACACTGATTGAGGAGTTCTTGATAGGAACACGTACAATTAAAATCTTAGTGGAGCCCATAAGAACACCATAGTGCTACAGCCATTGTTGAAATAAATAAAAAATATTCGAAATAACATAGTAATTTTTTTTTAACATTAAATTACAAATTCACTCAAGTCGTCGTAGACAATGACGTTAGCGTCTTCGCAAAAATCGTACCGAGGCAATGTTCAAACCCTGGTCCACTGTTTAATACTAATATTGCATTTCCAAAGATTTCGTGATAATTTTTTTTAGGAATATCGTACAGGTCGGTTCTCGTTTTATTATTATTTCTTTTTTCTAATACATCAAAACATCGTATTTAAGAATTAGGAATCTAATTTTTTTCGTTTATTTTTTTTCTCGTCATTCTCTCATCATTACCTATTTTTTTTTATTTTAAATCTTAAGAGTACTGGAAATAATAACTTATTACGTGTCGTCAGAAAATTTGTACAACGTCATCGTTTTTCCTCTGTATTTTTTTTTTTTTTTCTTAATCCTAATAGTCGGTCATAACGGGTAATAATAATAATAATTAATAAATTAAATAATGGTTTTGTTTTTTATTTATATTTACAATGTTTATCATTTTTCTTTTCAATCTTAAGAGGGACTACTGGCCGTTGATATGATGGGAATGTACACAATGGGATTTTTTAGGTGGTTGACCACCGCTCAGTCTCAAAAAACAACAAATTTAATAATTACAAATATACAATAAACTCAATAATTAATAATAATAATAACTACGCATACGAAAAAACATCATCATCGCTTTGGTATCTGTTACGAACAATAATAGTGATAACTGGATGAAGAGATATGATGAAGAAAAATAAATTAATAAATTCGATGATAGTTCAAATTTGATTTCTTTTTTTTTTCTTAAAAAAGAGTTAAAATGAACCATCCCGAATGTAATCGTTCTTCAACAAATCTCGCAAGATTAATAATAATAATAATAACACAGGTGTAATCGGAAAAGAATCCATTTTTAAGAAAATTTCGGTCCTCTTCATTTTCTTCTCTATTTTTCATTCTTCTCATCTTCGGAAATAAGGACTAGTACGTTAGGCTTGGAGGTGGAGGCGGCAGCCTAACTCCACCCCATGGGAAGAGTCATGTAGCCTCTTTCGAGGCAATACTTGCCGAGGAATCTTCATCGGCAGACAACATTTGCATAGTTGGCAACATGTGACCCTTCCCTTGGTTCACCACGCACTTCCTCATATGCTTCTCCAATGTAGATGGAACCGAAAACGGCATTTCACAAAACCGACACCTATACACATCTTTACCGATTCGACCGTGAGTCTTCATATGCCTCGTCAACTTGGAACTTTGCGCGCACGCGTACGAACACAACTCGCACTTATACGGTTTTTCACCAGTGTGTGATCTTCGATGAACTGTTAAATTCGAACAGTTCTTGAAGACTTTTCCGCAAAACTCACAGGTATCATTTCGGCGACTATCTTTTTTAAGAAGAGGACTTGAAAGTAGAGCACTAGGACCTGGACCTTTATTATCTCTTGCCATTGCCGGTAACCACCAATCACCACGATCCAAATCCATTTTTAATCGTTTTGTTGCTTCGTAGCTGTCCGTAAATGGGGGAAATAAAGGGAGTCCTTGTGGTGGAGGACCTGGGATTAATCCTTTTGCGAATTCGTCTCGCAATTTTAATTGATTAGCTAAAGTGTTGTTGTTATCTCGATCTTTACTCATTTGTAATTTGATAGCGGAACCAGATTCTTGCAGAGCTTGTTTGTATGCTTCGCTATATTGAGCAATGTTACTCAAACCGAATTTATCCATTAATTCCCCCACTAGCGAAGCAGATTGCGAAGAGTTTTTTGAATCAATTGTACTATTAGGTGGTTGGGGAACGCTAAGATCTTCAGCTTCTTCTTCATCGGCATCGATTTCCTCTTCTTCATCTTCTTCTTCGTCTAATTCTTCATCTTCATCGCTATCTTCATCTAATGTTTCTACCGATCCAGCATTGCTTGTTCGATCTTCTGGAGTTCTATGGATTTTCATATGCTTTTTTAATTTAGAGCTTTGAGAACAAGCATGATCGCAAACGGTACATTTATAAGGAAGATCACCTCCGGTGTGCGTCCTTCTGTGTACTTCCAAGTTATTTTGATATCTAAATTTCTTTCCGCAATAATCACAAGCAAATTCTGATTTTGGTGAAAGAGGCTTAGAATCCGGAGTGGTTGTAGATCGCGGAGTTGTTGTTAATGCGTGAGGTTCTTCTTGTTTAATGGCCGGAGGTGGGGATAAACTTTGGGGTCGGCTTCCGCTGCCGCTGTTGTTGTTATTGTTGTTGTTATTGCTTATGCTATTTATGCTTGTATTGCATGTAGTTGGGATGATATTTGGCGTTGTTGCCGGCGCGATTTGAGAAGGCGAGGGACTTGCGAATGGCGGTGAGAGCTTCCGAGGTGACGGCGAACTCGCCTGAGCCGCACCCGGGCTGGTGGTACCAGCTAATTGCCTCAACCGCTGTGAGTAAAAATCCAGTTGCGGTTCCAAAGATAAAGGTTGATTTGGTGTGGTTCTTTCACGTGGTGGAACGCTAGGAATTTGAGGAGGCCTATCAGCTGGTGAAGGAAAACTTGAGTGCGGTGGCGGTACACTTCCTGCAGCCACCGCAGCTGCAGCCGCCGCTAAGTTTAAACCATGATGTCTAAACTGTTCGCTCACTAGTTGTTCCATTCGAAAATGGTGTTCACTTCTTGGAAATAACGGTGCCGGCGGAACGGGACCATGATTTAAAGGTGGTATAGGTAACCGTAGTAAGCCTCCAACACTAAAAGGGTTATGTAATTCTGGAGGGGGAAGGAGATGTCGGATATTGGGTGGCGGAGGACCACTAGCACCTGAAGAGCATCCAGAGGAGGAACTACTTGTGCTGCTAGAACTGTGGTTATTTCCTTTATTGCTACTGCTGCTACTACTCGGAGATGTTTCGACATAAATCTTGATTCCGTGGGCGTGTTGAACGTGCTGCACCAACCGCCATGCGGAGTGCAGCCGCGCCTTGCAAGTGGAACAAACGTAATTGCTGGGTTCTGGAACAAGAGGGAAAAAATAAAATGTAAATTTTTCAATATCGGGATAATTTCGAACATGTGCGACCGCGGTTTAGGGTCCGAGTAATAATACAGTGAAAATCGCGACGTGAAAAATGGCTCGGACATTTACGTTTTGAGGGGTGTGCTGTGTACGTGCTTCGACTTGCCGAGATCTTTTCGTATATCAGGTCGTGAAACGCGAACTCCGGTTGACTTTTAGATGGATCAATGGCGGAAAGTTTTTAAAGAAATGAAATTTAATACAAAAAATTAGTTTTAGAACGCTTAATTATTTTTTTCTTATTAGTACAATGGGTATCTCCCCCTATCGAAACGTGTGCTTTGCACACGTTAGGATGTACCCCTTTAATATTTTTTGTAGTGCTTCAAGAAAGATGCGAGCAGATGACATGAGCACGCGTCCAGCGTAACGTTCGAGCCATAATAGTTAAATACCTGGATCCCCTATTTGCAGACAACTTTTCCGTACCCTTTCGTTCTACACAGTTCACGAGATCCTTAATGGAGCCGTTAAATTATGTATTTTTTTAGGAGCTCGCATGCTCCGAGTACGGCTATTTTATTATCGCCTATTCGACTGAAGATAATCCTCTTAGACTTCCCCAGAGCATCGGGTTGTCGTCGTCGTATTCTTACCTCTTCTTCTCGCGACGCGTTCTTTACAATTTCTCGTCACGGTCATCACTGACGGGAAGGCTTAAGGGGGGTGGCATTTACATACATTTAAAATGTGGCCACGGAGTGAGCACAAAGGGCCCCACGAAGACGCTATTATTTATCGCCTAAAAAATTCGTGGGGTGAGGACATCTTACGAACGAACCTCGGACCAAACGCGTATAGTACGTCCTGTGCTGGCCCCCGATGTGAATACGTTATGGGGGCGGCTTTTGGACACGGCACAATGGCGTTGGGTCTTAAAAATTTGAATATCGCGGTCATTTTCGCCTTATCGCCCACCGCTGGCCTTAGGGAAATGATCTATTACAGTCTCAGTTTGACGGATGACCTTTTTCCAACTGTGAAAATAACATTTTATATGAAGTCTTTTTAAGGTGTGATTTAGAAAATTTTCCACGGATATTTTTTTATGTTTTTTCCGATTAGATTATTTTATTGCACCATCCCCACCCAATTAATTTATTTTGGGTGTGTAACCTCTCTATTTTCGTCGTGCAATGTCAGACTACTTGAATGAAATCTGATAAATCGATAATAAATCTATGAAATAACACTATTTATTGAAACTTTTCGATAGATTAAACCATGTGTGGCCCGCCAGGCGACGAAAAAATTTATCAGCGTGTCCTAGAACTTGACCTTACGTCTGTTATGATCATAGATTAGACAGGCCCTTTGTGTCGGTTATAAAAATTAAATTAAAAAAAAATCTAGAGTACTGATCGTGATCATCATTGCGCGAAACTTTCAAGCATACAACCGGAATGGTACAGACAATGCTCAGGTGACGTCACTTTTTACGCTGGGGGCGTTCGAAGACTTTAAAATTTCATAATCCAACACGCTTCGCTGATCTCGATAGGGTGACCAGAAGGGTTAGGTTCGTCGTGACAAAAGCTTCCAATTCCTCTGATACCCCGCGGCGTTTTTAATCGGACATCGGTGCCAAGCTGTTTGTATTAATGATGACATTGCATGTACGATCGATTTTCAACCCTTAGAAAAGTCGCCGTTTGAATAAAAACGTCGCTATGTTAAGATTGGATACATTTCCGGAAAGGGTGGCGAAGATTTCCTTCTGCCGTTGGGAAAATTGTCACCTCCTTCGCGGTGACGTTTAAATTAACAAAACGTCACGCTGTCAGGAAACGTTCACCCCTTTTAATAATGGACATAACGAGTAGGACATGTCGAAAGCAGCCTCGCGGCAATACCAATAGTGTGGATATTAAAGGATTAACCGGTTGAGAAACATGACGAAAATATAAGATAACACATTTGACTATTTGATCAAAACAATTTTTTTAATTCAATTTAAAGTGTTATAAAGTTATAACGTAATACATAATCTAGGAATCCTTCTCGACAAATAATATAAAAACCGACCATGATGGGGTAGCAAAGTACATGCCCAAGGGCGACGGCTTTAAAACAGCATCCAACGGGAAAACGCGTCGAGATTTTATATTCAGCGCGCGTCGTCCAGGGCAACCCTGTAATTTCAATTTTCCGACGATAGTTTTCCTCCGAGATATTGAAACCGACGATACACAATACGCACGATTATGAAAATTTCAATTTACGGACGACAAATCAATCTTTCCCCCAAGAATACGTCTCCGGGAAAAATGCGAACGTAACACCAAGAAATCAATTGCCTTTTTACCTTTTCATAGAAAAATAAAAATTTGAATAGATACTTACCACTGTTCGTCGTGTTCGATTCGGCGTCTGCAAACTCGGTTCTAGATTTTTTCGAGGCGTGGCTTCCTTCTTCCGGTGAAGATGTCGGGTCTATTCTCTCCTGTTTAATATGTGCTTTTAGGTCTTCTCCGTCTTCTAAACTTGATGAAGTCAAAGGGGATGAAGACGCTCTTCTTTTTGGCGTTGAAGACGCGGCTCCATCGACGCTAAGGTCTCCGGGTGCCGGAAGTCGTGGGGATGCTGGTGGTGGAGTATGGACTCTTGTACTACTTCCAGCTTTTTTACCTGAGATCGGGGCCGATATGCTCGGCCTTCTCGTATTGATGGTCGATAATGGTAGTGCACCATCTTCATTATCTCGATCTCTTTCCGATGTTGAGTAACAATGTCCAAAGTTTTCTTTGTTGCACGACGCGACTTTGTGTTGAATGAATCTGACGATGTCCGAGAGAGCAAACGGTTTTTGACAAACCCCGCATGTGAGGATGTCTGGGTGTGTGTCAGATTCAGCTCCATCGACGTCCGCTGAAAATAAAGAGAAAATATTAAAATTATAAGCTTTAAAATAATTTTGATATCGATACATATAACATCGATTTTTATGTAACAGCTGCAGGGTTTTGGAATAAAGAAAGGAGCGATAATGATACTAGAACAGTCGGGGGTCTCGTTGACAACCACTCACCCCCTTCGACATCCACCCTTAATAAACACCCACAGGGATTAAGCAGCCGGCTCTGTGTATGAGCCCAATTTTCAAAAGTACCACTATCACTACATCAGCATTTACCATCAAAAAGGAATGAATAAAAATTTATTTATTTTAATTTTCACCCCTTAAAACTATAAACAAAACTAAACACTAAAAAAGAAATAAGGTGTGTAAAGTAAATAAAGATAACTGATTCATCCAACTGGTTATCCGGTCTTAAGTTACCGGAACTACCCCTAAAGTGACCACACCCTAACTGACCAATAAGGGTAAAACGAGGTGTGGGAAAATCGGACCCTTTTTTCATTGGTTAACCCTCGGACAATGGTCAGTTTGTACATAAAGTCGTCCAGTAAGGAGCGTTTCATTCCTTTTGAAGGAAATAGGAGGGATCTATTTCGAAGTTATGAAATATTTATGTTTTCGAACAATTCTCTTCGAGAGTAGAATCCAGCTTATCTGTAGGGATGAAACAATCGAGGATCGGCAGATAAAGAAATTGCTTCCACCCCCGGCTTCTATTACCAACCGATTTGTATTATAATAAGAGAACGTTGTGAGATCGACGTCGATATAGTGTATATAGCGATAACGAACTTCGTGGTAGTTATTTTTAAACGTTCCGAACAATAAGAAAAAGGCGTATATTCAAGAGAAAAAACACGAGGGAATAATGAACGTGTCCAGTAAATTAAACCGACCCCAGCAGCCAACCATTGCTTACGATGAATGCTGACCAGGTGTGTCGTGTAAACGCGCCAACCCTTCCACGTCTGGACCAAACAACGCAGCGAGAGAACATTATTGTCCGAAAGGGTGCTTTTTTCTTCTTTTCGGAGAGTGTCAAGGTAGTAGAAAAGCTCCCGGCTAAATGAGGCCCTACGAATCACGTAACAAGATCAAGAGAACTTTTTCACTAGCGTCGAACCCAAGGTGGTCAGTAATCGTATTGTCGATCTCTGGGGTTGCCTTGTCACTTTGACAAAGAGTAATTTGATAACGGACAGAAAACACACATGCACCGACTTCTGGTTCATCGAATAATTAAGTTAAGAAATTTTTGGGGTAAATCGATATTTCGCAATAAATAAAATAAAGTTATTTTTTTATTTCCCCCTTTACTTCAACATATGTTTCTGATAATGGATATCGTTATTTATTTTCCAAGGTGTTAACCAAGCCTGACCAATAAATTTCCTACCTTGTTTATCATTCGGTTTACCCCAAATATCCCCCGAAACGCAGTCAATATCCCAACCCTCAATGTTTACACCCCCAGAGAGTGTTCATGTTACAACGCCTGTTGTTGACTACTGTGGTTGTAATAGAAAGTTTGAACGTTAAAGAAATAACCGATTGATAAAAAAATCCATGAAAATCTACGATGTGGTTTTTCTTAAGTAGGTTCCATTTCGGACGAGATCGCCGTAAAGTGTGTATTAGCGGGGAAGTTGGGGTGTTAGTGTCACGACCCGAGTCACATTTGTCACGAAGAAGGGCCAATAAAATAATTCCAAGTGTAGCCACTCGTACAATCTGCCGGATACCGAAATCGACCCCCACAGAGACCGTTAAGAGCCTCGAGATTAATCAGAGCAATTTCCAATCAAGAGGGCTCGGCTTAATTGACAATATATATCGAAGAAACTCACCAGCGAGGACACTCCTTAAGAACAATTTCATCTTCAATAAAACCTCTTCGTTCATCATCTTTCAAATAAAAACCATCACCAAGTATAAACTATCAAGACACTAAAAAGTATCAGATACGACTTTGAACTTGAACCACACGACCTTACGGTTTTGGGATTGATCCCAGACTGAATCGTGGTCCATACACAATGAAAACGTACACAGGTAGCAAAAAATTAAGGGTGGTTGTCTCGGAGAAAACCGTATGGTGGTGGGGATAGGTCAGGACAAATCTTACCACCCCTTAAAAATCAGGGTTGTTTTCGAGGTTTTAGCGGGGATAAATTACAATAGAATTTTTAGCGTTGTCGGCAGATATTAATACGCGATATTAGGCTTTTATCGGAAATTGATCGATCGAACTTTGCCCAACCGTTATTTCTACTTTTTTCATCTAAGGGGGATTCAATTCATATAAATACGAACGAAAATTAACCATGAAAAGGGGCATTATCCAGATATTGAGGAGAGATTGTTGGTTAGAAAATAGAAAAGTTATGAATATTTTATGATAAATATTAATAAACTTGTTTTACAAAATTGATAAATTAGGTTACTATTACTTGTTATGGAGCTATGTTAACAATTTTAATTACATTCAATTAGGTCAGATTGTTTTTAAAATGCAGTTTTTCGAGTAATTATTTATATTTTTTTAGATCCAATCGGATTGTATTCATTATTATTGTGTTTTTAAAGCAATGGTAACAATATTATGAAATTTGGCTTCTGCTTTTATCATGAACACGAAGTATCCAGTTCAACAGCAATAATTTCATGGGTTTGACAAAATTCGTTTTTCGTTTCAAGTCAGTTTAAACATTTAGCACAAGTTTTCTTGTGGATCTCAGTGATGGTGAATCCAATATTGGTAGTCAAAATCATATGATCTTATAACTTATCTTTCGGTCGTATCTTTGGTTGACGAAATGATTGTTCTAAGACTGATGTTTTTTGATTCAACTTTACCTTATGTTTAGAAAAGTGCGCGCTAAGATGGTATGATGAAGCAACAACAAGCTTCATAGGAATGACAACTTAACACAAAAGTGGTATTGGTATTGGTATTGTGCTGTCGATTTAATTGTTACCATATCGTCATAATAACATAGGAATTAACTAATATTAATAAATATAAAACACTTATTGTAGCCTGTAGGACTGATTATATTCTAAACAAAAGTTCAGAAGTATGAGTTGTATTAGCACGATATTAAGAAGAATCAGCCCAGTCGTTATCAATAAATAGTATAACGGAAGATCAAATGTAGCGTTTCGTTTTATTAAGCCGAGATCGCTTGCGGCCGAGGCGCTACAACTAACACCTCATCTATACAACGTTGAACAATCCTTTTTGCTCACACCTTGGAAGCAATCAACGTCGCCTTAAAGTAGAACGAAGAATGTATTATTTCACCTGATGGTCATTTATGACCGAAGCTCTAAAGCTGATACCACATCCACATACAATGTTAGAGCATACATATTGCGTGCATCTCGAACACAAGCAAATTTATCTTAATCTAGAATAGTGAACTGATTAAGGTTGACTGCGGCCAAGCCGATATAATTGATACCACAACGATGCAGTGTTGAATATGACTATGGTTATCGCAATATTTTTATGATCTAACCTATTAATTAATAGACACCGTTTAAAAGTAGAGAGTTTGGGGATTAATTTGAAATAAAAATATTGGCTTAATATCCATAAATAAGGTCACAGCGATTTTGTAATTTTTTTCAATTTTTCTTCGAAATTAGATAATGACTAAAATTACAGATTTCATATTTGTTATTTATCGCAATATTTTTATGATCCAACTTATTAAGTAATACATACCGTTTAAAAGTAGAGAGTTTACGGATTAAGTTGAAATAAAAATCTTGAGTTAATATCCATAAATAAGACCACAGCGATAATTTGAATTTTTCTAATTTTTATTCGAAATTGGATGAGGACCAAAATTACAGATTTCTTATTTGTTATTTATCGCAATAATTTTTATGATCCAACTTATTAATTAATACACACCGCTGAAAAGAAGAGACTTTGGGCTTTGATATGACATAAAAATCTTTTCTTAAAATTCATAAATAAAGTTACAGCGATTTTTTGAATTTTTTCATTTTTTATTCAAAATTAGATAATGACCGAAATTACAGATTTCTTATTTATTATTTATCGCAATATTTTTTATGATCCAATCTATTGATTAATAATACCATACATGATACCATAATAAATACCACATACGTATAATATAATAGTCTATGTATACCTTGCCCCTAGGTAGCAATCGAATAACTTAAAACACAGTATGTATGATTTCGGTTGATTAAGCCGAGGTTGTTCGGGACCTACACGCTATAATCACTCCCACATCACTACAACTTAGAACTAACTTAGAACAGAAAATACAGTATTTCAACTAATTAAGGCGAGGTTGCTTGGGGTATAGGCTCTAACCGATCTCTGATTTAAAATTTAAAACGCAGAATGAATGATTGTGTAAGGTTAAGCCGAGGTCGCTTGCGGCCGAGGCGCTACAATTAATACCACAACGATTCAATTTTATCAATAACGACATTTTTTAATAATTCATTATAGCTTATTCTTTAGCAAAGCTTTTGAAAACATCTTAGAAATCATCAATTTATGTAGAGTCAATATAAAAGCAATAACATACTGCCAAAAGAGTATGTAGATGTTAGAATTTTATATTACAGAAAAGAACTTGTTTCTATCTTACACAAGTATCTTACCAGAGATTTACAATGTACAGCCATGATGGCTGTGGATGATAATATTAATGAAGAAATGTAAAATTAAAATTCATAAAGGCAAGAAGTGAATATTGCAACCTAGATTATGATTTTGAAAGCCCATGAAAAATTGAACAGGGTAGTTTTCAGATTCTAAGATAGATAAACTAATTGTTGGTCAATATTGACCAGTTTTAGTGATCAAAAAGAAAAAAAAAATCAATTTTACATCCCACTTAGACAACAATAAAGAGCTATTAGCGCATGCCATATATGGGGTTATTCCACAACAAATAAACACATTATAAGCACATCTCCGTAACTCGTCAATAAATTACAAACGACAAGGTGATTA